CGCAGCTGGCGGCGCACCTGGCCGGGCGGCGCGGCGGCGGGCGCGCTCACTCGCCCGTGTGGGTCCGCAGGTGGTACTTGAGCGACTGCTTGTAGCGGAAGCACTTGGCGCAGTGCGTGCAGGGGTAGGGCCGCTCGCCCGTGTGCGCGCGCTGGTGCTCCAGCAGGTGGTGCTTCTGCGTGAAGCGCTTGCCGCACTCGGCGCAGTGGTAGGGCCGCTCGCCCGTGTGGATGCGCCGGTGCTCGAGCAGGTGGTGCTTGCGGATGAAGCTCTTGCCGCACTCGGGGCAGGCGTGCGGGCGCTCGCGCGAGTGCACGCGGCAGTGGTTGGTGAGCTTGGACTTCTCGCTGAAGCTCTTCTCGCACTCGGGGCACTTGAAGGGCCGTTCGCCCGTGTGAGTCCGCTGGTGGCGCAGCAGGTGCGACGGGCGGCTGAAGCTCTTGCCGCACAGGCTGCAGATGAAGGAGACCTCGTGCTTGCCCGCGTGCACGCGCTGGTGGATCACCAGGCTGATGTGCAGGCGGAAGCTCTTCTTGCACTCGGGGCACGTGTAGGGCCGCTCGCCCGTGTGCGTGATCTGGTGCTTGGTCAGGCTCGACTTGTGGCTGAAGCTGCTGTCGCACTCGGGGCACTTGTAGGGCTTGGGGCCGCCGCCGCCGCTGCCCGAGCTGGGCGACTTGGGGCGCGGCTTGAGCGTGTGCTTGGGGGCGAAGCCGGGCCCGCGCTCGGGGGACGCGTAGCCGCCGCGGACGCGGTGGATGCGCTGGTGCAGCGTGAGCTGCTGCTTGTGGCGGAAGCTGATCTCGCACTCGGCGCACTCGTACGGCCCCTCCTTGATGTGGTTGCGCTGGTGGATGATGAGGTTGATCTTCAGCCGGAAGCTCTTGCCGCACTCCATGCAGGTGAAGGGCCGCTCGCCGCGCCGGTTCCGCTGCTGCTGGCTCGAGGAGCCGCGGTTGTCGCCCGGGTGCCGCTCCCCGTGCGTCGGCGGCGCCAGCCTCTTCACGGCCGGCTTGCCCAGCTGCAGCGGCGGGGGGCTCTCCTCGCCCTCGGGGGACAGCTCCCCGGGCAGCGGGGTCTGGTACATGCCGGCCTCGTAGCGCCCCGACAGCTGCCCGAGGGCCTGCAGGTGCTGAGGCAGCTCGTCCTCCTCCTCCTCTTCCTCCTCCTCCTCCTGCTCCTCGGTTTTGATCACGATCCCCTCTGCTCCAGGGACAGGGAGAGAGACGGAGAGAGGTCAGCTGTCGCCCGGGGCCTCCGCCCTGGGCGCCGGCGGGTGAGGTGGCTTCACCCTCGCCCACACACACTGCCTGTGTCTCACCGGCCCCGGTGCCTTCTTTTGGGAAAACGCTCCTTTCCACTCCCTGCCGCCCCGCGGCCCCCACCTCCACGGGGTTGGGTGTCTGACCCAGGTGGGCCTCGGGGTTGGGTCAGGAAGGAGCCCAGGCCCCCAGTGGCCCGTGGGAGCCCTCTCTGGGAATTCTATGCAGAGGGAGCAGGAAAGGGGCGGCCGGCGCCCATCTCCCCAAACTGCTAGCGGGCAGTACTCAGCAGGAACGAAGGAACCCAGCATGCGGAGCCCCCAGGGGAACCACTACGGTCCCGGGTGCCCGAAGCTGGCATGCTGGTGGACCTATGGATTCCTATCGTGGGCCAATAACCACGCCTTCCGGTTTTCACTTAGGCTGCTTGGGGAGGTGGGTTTCTACCATCTGTATGGAAAGGGCCTTGACTCATTAGGCTGTCACTGTTTTCTGGCTCCCAGGTCTCCCAGGTCTCCTTCTTTCCTGAGCGCACCTCTGGGCTTCCCTCAAGTGCCTTTGCTCGCCTTCCTCCAGCAACTGCTCCCTCCTCTCCATGCCTCCAAATCACCCGGGTCACACAACACCCACCTCCAATCCTGTCTTTGCCCCAAAACCTTCCTTGACCTGCCCAAGCTGCAGCCCTCAAGCGCCCCTGAGCGCACAGCACAAGCTGGTGCGCCTCCCCAGGACTTGGGGACCTCAGGCTTCTCACGTGGCACCGCGCGCACACACAGGTGGGGGACTCACCTGCGGTGGCTCTACCCACCCTGAAGCTGGGGTCGGGGGGTCTCCTCTGCCTCTCCCCCACGCTCTGCTGTGGGGGGTGTTCTGCGAACTCCCGGACTGGACGATGTGCTTCTCCACCCCGCCCTCCACCCTCTAGGCTGGCCCTTTAGGGCCCAACTTGTTAGCTGTTCTGCGTGGTGTTCTGTAGTGTTCCCCGAGCACCTAAGTCCTAGAGGAAAGGAGTGGCCTCTGACTCCTGTTTGCATTTTCTCAGATGCCTAGTACTTACTTGGCAACCCCCTAAACACTGATAATTGGTGTCACACACTGTGTGACATGAGAAAGGCACTCACCTTTCTAGGCCCACCTGTGAGGCGGACGCGGCAATAGTTGGCATTTGCAGAATTCTTAAAAGCAAACAAACGAGAACTTTTTCAAGTTCTCGCCTGACAACTGGTGTCTTTTTATTCACTATCTCTTAGAGGGTAAGTCGAGCAACACAGACGTGGGGCATCCACCCCAGAGATACCAAGTGACAGTTCCAAATAAAGTAAGTGCAGTCAGACCTTTTCAGAGCTTGCAACTTAGGGACCACCTAGTCGGTCTCCTCAGCTGACGGGGAAACAAGCTGGCAGCGTGCGCGAGCTGGCTAAGGTCTTGGCCACAAATTCGTTAGTGACCGCCGGGCCACGGCCCGTTCTACTCCTCTGAACCCAGGACATGGCAGGACATAAGTGTGCCAGTCCCCGCTCAGGCTGGACAAGATTCTCAGTAGCAAGGGGCCCAGAACATCCTCAGAACAGGATGCTTAAAAGATCAGGAAGGTGGGGCGCCTGGGTGGCGCAGTCGGTTAAGCGTCCGACTTCAGCCAGGTCACGATCTCGCGGTCCGTGAGTTCGAGCCCCGCGTCAGGCTCTGGGCTGATGGCTCAGAGCCTGGAGCCTGTTTCCGATTCTGTGTCTCCCTCTCTCTCTGCCCCTCCCCCGTTCATGCTCTGTCTCTCTCTGTCCCAAAAATAAATAAACGTTGAAAAAAAAAAATTAAAAAAAAAAAAAGATCAGGAAGGAGGAGGCAGCTTCAGAGGTTGGTAATTAGCTGTCCCTGTGCTTATCCTGAAAATGAGGGTTGTTTCTGAAAGACCCAGGGGAACTATGGGCGCCTTGGGACATTTAAACTCTCCTTGAGGGGCGCCTGGGTGGCTCAGTCGGTTAAGCGTCCGACTTTGGCTGAGGTCATGATCTCACGGTTTGTGGGTTCGAGCCCCACCCTGGGCTCTGTGCTGACAGCTCAGAGCCTAGAGCCTGGAGCCTGCTTCGGATTCTGTGTCTCCCTCTCTCTCTGCCCCTCCCCTGCTTGTGCTCTGTCTCTCTCTCAACAATGAATAAACGTTAAAGAGAAAAAAAAAAACTCTCCTTGAGCATCAAAGTTTTTGTTTTTGTTTTTTCAGTGAAATGAGAATGAAACAGCCCTAAAACCCAGGACTCCAAATCCCACCAAGTGCCATTCAGTAATTTCCTAAGGTTCCCAGTAGAATTAACGGGAGTGCCCAGAGGGGACTCTGGCCTTTCTATTGTGAGGCTTTGCTGTGGCACATCCTCAGAGTTTGCCCCGTGTCTTTCGCTGTTTTCCAGAGACAGCATATGGCATATTAGAAGGATTTCTGGAATATCATACAGTTCTTTAAAAGCAAGGAGTTAGATCCACATCTTTTGCCTAAGAAAGATGTCCGTGCTATTTTATGACGTGCAAAAAAGGCAAACTGCAAAGGAATCATCTACAAAGTGAACAAATTTTTTTAAAGCATCAGCATAATACTTTAAAAAACCTATTAAATGAAAAATGGATGTGGACACATTTCTCACTGATAGGATAGCTAATGACTCTTTTGCACATAAACAAAACATCTAAACAAAAACCAGAACCTAAGTGTATTCCTTAAAAATTCGGTAGAACTCACTTAATTCCTACCTCCCACATTAGATGCAGAATGTGGGAAAAAAGAGCAGAAGCTTCCCAGTTCAGTTGGTAAGTAGAAGATCATTTTACTTCCCAAACTAGACGAGGGTGGCTGAAGAAAGGTTCAGGCTGATTTGCTTTATGGATAGAGCTGAGAACTCCTGAACAAAACAGTAGCTAACTAAGCCTAATGGTGCGTTTTAGAAATACACCATGATGACAAGATGGGGATTTTCTCAGGACTGCCCGGACTGTTCAGTATCAATCAGCCACAAAAGATGTCCTGAGCTCAGGCTGCTGAGGGCGACACTTCCTCACTGTTCTTGAACTCCCGAGGAGCAAGAACTCCCAAGTGTGCAGAAGGGTGACCCAGAGGTTTCATGATCAAACACAAGTGATGGCTCGATTCTACCGGGAAGGGACCGTACAGTCCGGCATTTTAAAAAGCATGCGTTGTGGGGGTTGAGATCTCTGGGTCACTGAGGCTTCCAGAGTGACCTAAGAACCATCAAGGACACACCGGGAGACGGAAATTCTAGCTTGGCCCCAATGTCGTGACCTTGGGCAATTGATCTGACCTTCTCTGCCTGTAGAAGGAGGGGAGCTGGAGAGAGATGATCTCTGAGGTCCCTTTGGGTCCTCGTCCAACCTAGTCTTTGGCTGTTAATACCTTCTGCCCAGGCCAGAGACCGATTCTTACAAATCCTGAGGCAGGACACCTGCACCTGAGACCACGCCGGGGGACGTCACACCTATCCACAGATCACTGCCACATGACCTTTCGGAGAGAAACTCCAACTTTCCCACGAGGCAGGGGCCTGCCCGCGGGCCTGATGGCAGCAGCTCCCCACGCCTGGACCCCCTCCAACTGACCTGTGCAGTTTCTCTGCTGCACCAGCATCTGTTTGAGCTCGCTGAACTCGCTGGAGCCTTCGGTGGACTCTTCCAGCGTATTGTCCTGTTCTTGCATGTCCAAGTCTGGCTGCTCCGCACATGGGTCGCCCAGCTCGGAGTCCTGAAAGCCATGCTCCTCCACCTGTCCCATCAGGGGCTCCGGCGTCTCCAAACTTTCTGAGCCCTCGTCGTTGGTCTGCACCTCGATCTTAATCACGATCCCGTC